TTTTAGATTTAGAGTAGTTTCTGATAAGAACATCACTAAAAATTCCTACATTATTAAAATAAATTACACCTGGATCTATTGCATTGTTTTAACACCTAAAGCTGTTAGTCCAGTGTAAGCTTTGAAAACTATTTTAACAACGAAATATATATGCCCCCTTTGTAGAAAATGTCTATATTGTGACCGACATGTCTACTATAGAATTATAATAATAGTATTTATAAAATATAATTTAATTCAAACAAATAAATGTAATCATTTTTGCTCTTAAATTAATTTGTGGTAAAAATAGAATTTCTCTTATCCCTAATACACTCACACTGATGTAAATAATTAAGTTCTATAATTATAAAATTTCATCTTATTTCTTGTAATTTTAATATTAACTCATAGATGAAATATTAGTAAATTTCAAATGATACTGTCTCAATCAAAGTAGAGAAGAAATCTTATGGGCAATGGGCAAAAAAGTAAATTTAATTTTGCAATATTAATAATTCCATAATACACATCAGATATTTGGGTTTTAACCATGCATGTGATTACAAATTTATAACACAAATATATAGAGAACAATTTAATGATAATAAAAATAATATCCAACTTTCAATTTCTAATCAAATATGTTTAAAAGATTGCTATTTGCTATATTAAATTTATTTCCAATTTATAATAATACTTTATAAGAAATATTTGAAAAAATAAGCAGATGTATTTTATTTTTATATTTGAATTGATTTAATTTCCGTAAAATAATATACAATCCCTATCATTCTTTTTAAAAGTCGATGTATTTAATTTAATTCGTTTTTTAAACGTTATACGGTAAGCCTCGGTCATTTGTATTTTGGGAGCTGCAGGCTTTATAGATAAGTAAAAAATTAAAAGTAAAACTCTGAATCTTATCCATCCAGAACTGCCTATGGTTCCAGGGTCGTGGACCCACAAAAGCAAAACATATCCATTATTTATTTTTTGTATCTTCACTGGTTTAGAGTAGGAATCGACGAACTGTTCAAGCTCAATTAAAATTTAACGCCAGCTTAAAAAAAAAAAAAAAAAAAAAAAACTATTACAACTTATTACATGATTTCAATCATTAAATATTAATTTTCATTATCAATTTATCGTTACTATATATCGTCTTTATTTTAAGATTGATTAAGGATGACTCATTACTAATTATAAACGTGCTCGATTGCGACAAAAAAAATAAATTTAAAGTTGATCAATTAGACACAAACTATTTGTGTAAATAAAACAATACATTCGGCAAATGCCTTTATCAGTACAAAACAACAAAACATTTAAATAAGTATACATTCAAATTACGTAATATCTATTTTATAAAGTATCCTACAAAAGAAATAGAAAAGAATAAGAATGGGGGCAAACCCAGATTCAAACAGTAAAGAAAAACTGATGCATTACTACCCTTGGTATGCACGAGAAATTCAAACGTCATGCGCATGCGCCAAGCGAGCATTTTTTGTAATTTAATAATGGATTTCCCCGATATATGTTGTCACTTTAAAATTTCAAATTCAAGCTAAGTTGTAATTTTAATAGATGAAAGAGTACGTTAAGTTCAACTAAAAAATAAATCATCTAAAATAGTAGGCGAATCTTTTAACAAATCAGACTTCACACGATTTAAGAGAAAACAGAATTTACAAGTAAGCTTTTTTCTCCCAATAATTAAAATGTTTTTTTCTCCCAATAATTAAAATGTGCCATGAGAAATCGGGAAAATCTTAAAGCTATATTTAGCTTTCAGACAAATTTTTTTTAACAACTCGGCTTAAACAAAATAAATTCAACGGTGGACAAAATCGTTTCCTAAACTCTTGTAGCAGAATGTAAGTTTTATATATTAACAGCTAAATAGATTTTAAGACAGCTTACGCTTTTTTAATGAGTGCTGCAGATTTAGCGCGATAACTATTACGATATATTTTTTTTTAAAATTATTGTACGACGAGTGACCTTTGTCCGTCATGGCTCATTTGCCCTGTGTAGAGAAAACTATTTTTTTTTACCTGCGTTACTTTTCGCTTACGTGGCAACAATATGCCAAAGATTCGGGGCCGTATTTTGAGTTAGTCACGCTCGGGAATGGGCGATGATGGGTGGGGGCTAAGAATGGGATCATAAAAAGTATCACAGTTTGTGACACCATTTTTTTTTACAAAATTTTTTTTTAAGTGTGGGGGGTGGGGGTGGATAAAGGGATGTAAAGATATTTTCTGACCTCACACATTTCTGTAACACACATACAAAACTTGAAAAAAGGAAGTGATTTTAAACTTTCTATTGTGATCGACATATCCTAATGGGAGATGTCATTGCTATGAATTTAAAAGCTGAATAACAAGTGTGTTTTATATTGCATTTTAAATATTTGTCTTTTTTTTAAATTGTTTATTTCGAATCTGTTACGTATTTTTGGGGTGGAGGGGAGAGAGGGGATCTGAGATTTGCTGCAGATTGTGGCAAGGGAAGAGAGTAGTTAAAAATTGTTTTAAAAAAACCATTATGTACTTTATAGATGGTCCCTTACTTTAAAAGAGTTGTGACGTAACTTTGGAGCCGTCCACAAATAACGTATAACTTGGAAGGGAGAGGGCGGTCATATATTTATGACGTAGTTTGACGAGAGGAGGGCAGATTAGCAATATGACGTCACACAAGACGCGAAAATAAAATATAGTAAAAAAAAAATCACTGAATAACACTAAATTGCCGAAATGTTTAATATTATTCTTCGATTCAACCATGATAATTAATTTATTTTTGAACTACGATCACTGAGAGAAGCAGTGCAGGTAGGCGAGTTCCGAGAAATGGCCTCTGATCAAGTTACAGGCCGGCACGGAGGAGGAGAATCGGGGTGTAGGGACATTGACATAGTCGTGAGAATTGATGTCGAAATATGGCGACCGAAGGCTTAGAATTAGGACTATCACGTGAAGTGGGATGGAATTTATAAAAAAAAAAAATTGGTTGGCAAAGGGGTTGGGGGTGGGGGGGGGGGCGCTTGATCTTAGTAAATGCTCTAGGGCAGGGAGTATTTGCCTTTTTACGGCGCTGCAGTCCCACCAAGTTTTAAACATTTCCCCCACCCACCCAACTCGAAACGATAAATTATGTTTTCGTGAAATTTTCAAATATGAAAGTAATTTAATAAATAAGTTTTCCTAGTTGAATATCTTTCATTAAATTCCAAGTCACAAGGGAAACAAATAATACAAGTAATGCGGAAAAAAAATCACCAGAAAAACATTGACTTCCGCTAATCAAAAAGCATAAAAACTGATTATTTTAAAGGCAGCAACAACTAGCAATGGCAGCAAATATAATTGTCTGGGTCTACCGAAACCTCAAGGCGCAAAAGGGAAACAGGGGGGGGGGGGTCTTTTACCCCTATTTATGGGGGGGGGGGGATGGGGAATTTTTTAAGGGTTTGTAAAGGACAGTAGTGGACGGAGGGATTTTTATAATGGGGTGGGTGGTTAAGAGATTTGCGACAGTGGGGGAGGGAGTGGTACGTGTTTGAAAGAATCTAATTGTTTACGACAGTGAACAAAAATAGTGTAAAATTTGTGCTTACCTTGACCTTGAGCTCGGAAACCTGTATTATTTTACTGTAAACGTTATGCATGAAACTAAATAAACCCCTCTGATATTTATGTAGTGAAATCCGATTCAATAACTGAATCTGGCGCCACGACCACGGCTGAAACACATAATGCGATTCATTTATCTCTTCAAGAAAACGGGATAAAATAAATAACTACTTTTACAAAAGAATTACGATGAAAAGGTAAATATTCGAACCGGCGGCTTCCGTAATTTAAAAAAATTCCTTGTCGTCAACAATAGAATCGGCGGTTCTAATTTTCAACCAAAGACGTAGTCGTAAGGAGCGTATTAATGATCCTCGAAATACTACTGCCCACTAAAGCACGACCAGACGTCGCGAGCTTGGTTTAGCCTGTCCACCGTAACACATTGTTCTGTCGTCCGACAAGGCCAACCAAACCCACCTGCGTTATCCGATCGGTAGCATAACTTCATTACGGTCAAGCATACTGAATTTTTTTTTTTTTATTTTTTTTTTATCATCTATACATCTATAAATCGCGACCACACAGGTGGTTGAACACTAAAATGTGTCTCCCTATTGCTAAAACTTGCCAAAAAAGATAATAGAAAACGTAAGGAAAAATAGATGCACATGGAAACAGTAACACCATTATAGACGCGATGAGAAAAAAAAGAAAAAACACCGCTAAAAAAAGGTCCACCTACTCAGCACTGCAGATAAACCAATAGTGTCAAAGGACACCATGAAACGGCTCAGTATAGCAGACTTGTATCCTTGCGCACAACCGTTCTCCCGTCTGAACAACGGCATAACTGTAGCGCATGCGTATTGCATTCACCCATTACCATTACAGCCGGATAAGTTGTAACTGCGCAGTTACCGCAGCACACCCGCCGGATTCGGACCTGTCATAGATTTCCAGACTAACGATTGGTCAAGGCCAACCAATTAAGTCCATCATTGAAAACGCTTTAACAAAACAGAACTGATTCCTCACATTGTTTTAAAAAAAACCGACTGCTTATGTTTAAATTAAGTGTATTTCTTATTATCAAAATGCAATATAAAATTGGGGAAATCCTAAAGCTATATTTACATTTCAGTGAAGTTTTTTTTTTATAAGTCGCACTGAATCCAACCATATACTGTTGGTAAAAATAGTTCCACAATAGTTAGCACAATCTATATTATTTTTATGATTCCCCAGGTAAATACTCCCTAACTAGATTTTAAGAACCGATGTATGCGTACATTTATTAAGTGCGCTACTCAATACGATGTATTTTATTATATTTTTGCATACGTTTTACCAAGAAGCATAGATCCCTGCAGGAGAACGCTAAACGGCGTTTTTTTGACTTCCGCGTTGTGTTTTCCTGCTAGCTTGAATCATGTGAAAAGGTTGTGAGGCGTTAGCTAGCTGACGAAAGCAACAAAATGTCGGAATGTGGGACAGCTGTGTCTGATCAATTCTGATTGACCTAAAATAATCACAGACTTGCTCTTCTCATTTTATTAGAACACACACATTAACACAAAACGCATCGGTAGGTTGTTTTATTACTTTTCTTTTTTCTTTTTTTTTTCATTTTTCAATCTGCCGGTTATTATTGGAATCTCCTTTTTTTTTTCTCTCTCTTTCTTTTTGTTTCTCTGTTTTTCAAGGGTTTGAGGGCTGGGTTAAGCTTTTCAGTAGAGTTTACAATTAGCAAAAGCCAGTGTACCAAGGCGACGGGAAATTAGGAAAAGAAATATAAGCCAGTCCGATTTTGGTGTACCAAGGCGACGGGAAATTAGGAAAAGAAATATAAGCCAGTCCGATTTTGGTGTACCAAGGCGACGGGAAATTAGGAAAAGAAATATTTATTTTCGGAGAGACAGAAGAGCAAAATGGATTGGTTATGCTTCCATATCATTTCTGAGATCTGCACAGTCCTCATCACGGTGTTACGCACATAATAAATAATATGATGCATAGCTTTTTAGTCCAGAACAGGGTTTCTTTCAGCTTTATCTCGGGGGGGGGGCAATGCCCCCGGGGAAAGTGCTGCCCCCCCCCCCGGGGAGAGCCAAGGGCCCACGGAGCAAAAGTATGTCCACCAATTAATCAACTGTCACTGCTGGTACTGGCCCCCCTCGCGAAAAATCTAAAAAGCTTCCCGGGGGAAAATTTTTGAAATAATCACTGATCCAGAATAAGTTCCGTTTGACATATTTGATAACATTGATGTAAAATGGCTTTGAAATCACAAAATTAATCTTCAATAATAATATACACTAAAAACATCAATCCATTTAACTTTAAAAAATTATTGACATATATATATATATGAAATCACAAAACGTCCCTTTATTTAAAAATTATTTATAAATTGGTAATTTACCAATCAAAAACTAATTTTAAAAGTTTAAATTTCATGACAATAAATGTGGCAGTTACCAAACGTATTACTTATTGAATGAACATTTAAAAAGGTATTCAACAATTAGACATGACAAATTGATTATATCTGCATTAAAATTAAAGTAAGATGGCTAACTATTGACATCTACTTTACTTTTACTTAACTTTGTCTGTTACATTTTCTTTTTCAAAATGAAGGATATCGAAAAAAAAGCGTCAAAAGTAATAAAGCTATTGTTTCAGAAACTGTTGTACAGATTTTTATTTGTCTAGAATTATTACCTAAACACTGTCATTGGTGTTATAATTCTACAATGCTTGTTACCTTCTTGAGTGTTATGCAGCTGTTGTTTTTTTAAAAACAATTATAAGCCAAGTCATTTCGGGTTTTTCCGAACCTCTCTTCACCCCCCCCCCCCCTTTTCCGTTCCCTTTATTTAGCAGTCACGTGATTGTAGCCTTGACAACATTAGATAACAACCGTGAAGCAAACTCCTAAAATGGTTTCAAACTATAAGACTAAACTAATTACTTTGTCTTGTCCAGTGAGGTAATCGACATCCTATGCAAGATCCCACCTCTCCGTGGTGCACGGGACCAGTACCCGTGAACGGACACGGGGAAGCCAACGGGATCACGCCCACCAACACAAGGTAAATTTTCCATTTCTTTCAACATTCAAATAACACAGACTGTTTTCTTGTCTTACAACATCTGAGCTTTTTTTTTATGTCGTAGCCCAGTGGTTCTCAAACATTATAGACATATTACAGAAGTGTTCTGTATAATCTCCCCCCCCCCCCCCCAAATTAGGGTTACATTTTCAAAAAAGTAATGTTATAATAGAGAGTTACTATTTACACATTTTGTGAGTGGATAATTTTTTTAACATAGGCGTACATTTGTGTCCACCGTAGGTCAATCACTTTAAAATAATGCTCAATCGTTGCTTCTCCTTTTCTTTTTTTTCTAATATTCCTGAATGTCCATTGCTCTGTTTAAGATTGTGTCTCTGTTTACTCAGAGAAATAACAGAACACACGTATCAAAAATCAATGCACTGTTTCGTTTTTTTTTTTGTTGTTTTTTTTATTTTTTTTTTTTTTAAATACATAGTTAACAACACTAAACAAATACCTTAACACAATCATTTAAATAATAAATAAATATAGCTATTTGTTTAAAATGGATTGGTTATGCTTCCATATCATTTCTGAGATCTGCACAGTCCCCATCACGGTGTTACGCACATAATAAATAATATGATGCATAGCTTTTTAGTCCAGAACAGGGTTTCTTTCCGCTTTATCCCGGGGGGGGGGGCAATGCCCCCGGGGAAAGTGCTGCCCCCCCCCCCGGGGAGAGCCAAGGGCCCACGGAGCAAAAGTATGTCCACCAATTAATCAACTGTCACTGCTGGTACTGGCCCCCCTCGCGAAAAATCTAAAAAGCTTCCCGGGGGAAAATTTTTGAAATAATCACTGATCCAGAATAAGTTCCGTTTGACATATTTGATAACATTGATGTAAAATGGCTTTGAAATCACAAAATTAATCTTCAATAATAATATACACTAAAAACATCAATCCATTTAACTTTAAAAAATTATTGACATATATATATATATGAAATCACAAAACGTCCCTTTATTTAAAAATTATTTATAAATTGGTAATTTACCAATCAAAAACTAATTTTAAAAGTTTAAATTTCATGACAATAAATGTGGCAGTTACCAAACGTATTACTTATTGAATGAACATTTAAAAAGGTATTCAACAATTAGACATGACAAATTGATTATATCTGCATTAAAATTAAAGTAAGATGGCTAACTATTGACATCTACTTTACTTTTACTTAACTTTGTCTGTTACATTTTCTTTTTCAAAATGAAGGATATCGAAAAAAAAGCGTCAAAAGTAATAAAGCTATTGTTTCAGAAACTGTTGTACAGATTTTTATTTGTCTAGAATTATTACCTAAACACTGTCATTGGTGTTATAATTCTACAATGCTTGTTACCTTCTTGAGTGTTATGCAGCTGTTGTTTTTTTAAAAACAATTATAAGCCAAGTCATTTCGGGTTTTTCCGAACCTCTCTTCCCCCCCCCCCCCCCCCTTTTCCGTTCCCTTTATTTAGCAGTCACGTGATTGTAGCCTTGACAACATTAGATAACAACCGTGAAGCAAACTCCTAAAATGGTTTCAAACTATAAGACTAAACTAATTACTTTGTCTTGTCCAGTGAGGTAATCGACATCCTATGCAANAAAAATCAATTCACTTTTTCTTTTTTTTTTTTGTTGTTTTTTTTATATTTTTTTTTTTTAAATACATAGTTAACAACACTAAACAAATACCTTAACACAATCATTTAAATAATAAATAAATATAGCTATTTGTTCTCTATATTTTAATGCAAGCCTCGCCATTCAATTGTAAATGTAATTATAGGTATCGGCGTTGACCAGCGTTGGTAGATCATCAAACTACACATACTCAGCAGACATCGAAACTCCACATTTGCGAGTCATCGCACCAGGGACACTTCAGTTCACCACCTGGAGCATAGTAGTCGTCAATCAAGAAGTCAGTCTTCCTTAGACGAAGCCAAGGTCTTTGGCGAACCTATCTTTTGAATGATTTTACCTAACGCCATAATTATTTTCTAAATAATATACTTCATGGCCATCATATGTTCCTCTAACTGATTCCGACTAGATTTCTGGTTACTTTTGAGTTGACCTTTTATTAAAAACACATTTTCCAAATGGAAGTACTCGATTTGATAATTTCAAGAGAAATGTCTGTCCCAGAATTGCGCAAATTAAAGGATGAAGCGGCAGCCCGTACCAGCATGAGCATTGCAAATTAAAGTGTTCTAGTGTTTATGGCAGGGATGGATGACATCGTTGAAAGAACCAACCCCACCGAGATTTTTTCATTTGACTCTATGATCAGACTGGCAACATTCCGTCAGGTTGTACATTATGAAACGCCAATGTGCCTGAGTTCATTAGCAGAATCGGGGTTCATCTTCGCTGGGTATGGTTCTTCCATCAAGTGTGTGGGCTGTCAGAGGTCAGTGGATCTATTCGGCGTCAGAACAGACCCTTCAGACAAGTGCTACCACACTGGGATGTGTCCGTTCGCTACTTCTGGGAATCAAAGCTCAGACGAAGGTTATGAGGGAGAGAGCGATCTTCAGGTAGATGGTTTGGTGGCCTCTCCACCTGTAGCGCCAATCTGCCCTGAGGTTGTTAACTCATTAGAGCTTCCGCCAACGAATGAGTTGAAATCAGTTGATCCCCTAAGTTCAGACTTGCGTCATCACACTAGTTCACCATACAGGAGTTTTGAACACTCGGTAAATGAAACAGGAAATGACGCTACCGGTATTCAACCTAACCAGACTACGTTACCACCATCACTGCTTGGAGCAACGTCTTCTATAAGTATGTATTTATTTATTAAACACATTATTTCATTCAGTCTTCAACACATCTGTTGTTACCACTTATGTATTGTTGTGTTTTTTCTGTATTTAAAATTTGTAAAAATAAAATTTAAGTGATATTTTTTTTAAAATTTATTTAAATTATCAATCAATACCCATTCTGCATGAATCTTTAAATGTTTAAGCCATTTCCATAAAATTCAATTCAAACTCATTTAACAATTACTATATCAAGGCTTTAAAACCATATAGAACATATAAAAAATGTAAGAGGTGGCACGCATTGCAACATTCATTTATTTTATTTTATGCACACACAAAATTGTTTTTTGGGTTTTATTCGACTTTAGTTCCCTTCAAAATTCTAAGTTTAAAATAATTTATACCATATCTACTTTACCTGGGATGTATTTTTAAACTTTTTAACGATATTATTTCTTTATCAGTAGAAACTACCGAAACTACCGAAACTTCCAGAGAAACAGCGTCACCATCTAGCGGGTTGTCAGATTATTCATCAGACAGTTCAGACAATTATTTTTGTAAGAAGCTTAAACCTTTAAACCATCAATAAAAATTAAAATTACAACCGCTTACCTTTTTAAATTTGTTAAATATGTATTTATTTATTTAGGCATTTTTATATAGCGCTTACCTTAAAGCTCTAAGCGCTTTAAAATTATTAAAAACATGTAAACTAAAAAAAATAAAAATGAGACACTAGGATAGTAACTACTATACTATACAAACAATGAAAATGGCTATAAAAACGAGTACACTTTGGCACGTTTTGGCCTAAACTACAGGATCAACCCGAGACAGAAAATGAGACAGGGCAAGGAGGGTTTATCACAGGTCATAGGTGGACCTAACAACATGCTATTACCTTTTATAAAATCTTAAGATTTGTTTGGATTTAAACTTTTTTTTTTTAAATCTATGATCCAATTTCTTAATTTTTTAATCAATAGCATTTTTTTTATTTTTGTTTATATTTTATAGTTGATTCGGATGCCTTTAAACCGGAATGTCACTACACCAGAAAGAACCCCGATCCGGTGCATAGAGTTCACTGTGACAAAAACCCTGGGCACTATGCTTACTTTCCAGCATCGTCTATTAACTTGCAACAAATACCATCGTCGACAAGACACCCCGATGTCATCAAGATTCTTCAGCTCTGCTCCGAGCTGACAGTAAAAATCTCTGTGTGCCATATTAGCAGACATCGTCCGAAGGAAGATGAGGTTCTAAGGAGCACTTTAACTCCTAGATTCGGAACAGGTTTCATGCAGGATGACACCGGGGAGGTTTCGAATACTGACGGATCTTTAAAAAAGTTTGTTCCATTTCTGAGTAAAAACAAGAAACACGAAATATATATACGGACAAATCGCCATCTGGTCTTTGATGGGACTGAGGCTGAGAAGTCTACTGTGGAATTTACCTACAAACACAACAACAATGTGAAAATTATCACATTGAAAGGGAAGGGTGTACTTTACAGCAAGACCCCGGCAAACAACAGCGTCATTTTAGTATGCACCAGCAGCGATCAAGATTTCGTTAAACGCATCTCAACCGCCAGGAACCAGATATTGGAACTGACAGCAAACCTACCAAGAAGAATCAAAGTTGGCTTGACCAAGAAGCTCTTCATCATACATCACCCGCACGGGGGAGAGATGGTCATTTCGTATGGAGACTCGGTCATGGTCAAATATTTGTTGGAAGAGACAGGCCATGGTCGGCAAAGATTGTCAAAGATAAATGGACAGCTTCATCTGGGTTAGTCATTATTGAAATAGCTTGAACACATTCTGTCCTTTACCAAATACAACATCATTATGTGTGAATGATCTCGAAAGTAAATAAAATTTCAATAACCATCCAGTAAAACGGACTGCTTAAATAATCATTGAATCATCGAGCCATCCTATATGGTAGGAATCTTAAACTTTCTCCAAATCTAGAAAAAGTTATTTGATTTCATTTCAATTCTGTATGATTAAATATTATTTTTCTTCTATACTTTCGAGGTCCACGATCAATGTATTGATAATTCTGGCTCCTATAAACACATCATGCATATACTACATCGGCACATATTCTTAAATTCACAGAGCAACATCTATCTCAAAATCGTGTGAGGAAAGCTCTTCTCTATGCGGCCGACACATGCTCGGGATCATCCGGGGCGCCTATCCTAACTTTTAGAAGGGACGCCTCAGTCGTCGGTGCGCAAGAATTTGTCTTGGAGATATGGATGCACAATGGTGTGGACAATGGCTCTAATCTTGGGGGGTCTGTTATGAAAGGTAAAATGGTGTAATATTGTTTTAATCAAATTTAATTTATCGTCCTCCCAAGCAAGCAGCAAGTTGGGAATGTACCATTGGGCTCAAAATTGAATTGATAAATAAAGATCAATTTTGAGAAAGAGTTTTTAAAAAAAAATCATTTATGTTATGACAAATACCTAAATGGCAATGTAACTTTAAACATTTTAGATAATTAATTTTCTTTAAAAATCTATTTGTCTTTCTAATAACCTACGCATATATATATATTTAACTTTTTTTTTTTTTTTAGAAAAACTATGTGAATTAAAAAATAATATGTTTAAAGATTTTAAGAATTATTCTTGCATGTCTAAATTAATGTTTCAGATTTTACGTGTAATTTTTCGTGACATAATTTCATTTTTTTTTTAAATTTTCTTTTTTAATCTCAGTTTTGTATAAAATGTATACTCCATGTACAAGATGTTCTGTTACTTGTCATACTTCTTTTTGTCTTGTTTGCTGATGAAGGCTCTAAGCCGAAACGTCCAACTCTTTTGTTCTGTTTATGAAATCAAGTTTAGCACCCCATTGTCTTTAAATTTCAATCGGTTTAGAAGCGTTGTCTTGTCCAAGGTTTAATAATATCTATGGCGATTTATATTTTTCTTTAACATTTCTTGCCTTGGTAGGTATTTAAACGTATCTCGCAGTGGAATCTTAAGATTTTAAACACCACATCAACAAATGATGATTGAATCTTTTCATGCATTTACTGTCCATTTCTATGACAGAGTACAGGCTCGTGGATTATGAGTTGGCTAACAGAGTTGGTCAGTCTAGTTCTTCAAGCCAGGAAAACCAGGACGATGACGATGATGATGACGACAGCACTGAAGACAAACACGTGACGTCACCAGTGTTCAAAGTGCTCAGCCGTGCCTCCTATCCCGTGTACATCCCTTACCACAAGAGGTTGGAGAGTTTTAACGACTGGATATTTCAGGAAATCCACGATCCTAAAGTACTCGCTTTGGCTGGATTCTTCTATGCAGGTAAACAAAGGAGATTTGACAGCTGACAGACAGCAGAAAGTTGATTGACAACTGAAAGACAGTTGTAAGTTGTTTGACAGCTGCCAGACAGCAGTAAGGTTATTGACAACTGCCAGACATCAGTAAGATGATTGACAGCTCACAGACATCAGTAAGTTGATTGACAGCTGTTAGAAGCAGTAAGGTGATTGATACCTGCCAGACAGCAGTAAGGTGATTGACAGCTGATAGACAGCAGTAAAATGGTTGACGACATCTGTCAGACAGCAGTAAGGTGATTGACAGCTGCCAGACAACAGTGAGATGATTGAGAGCTGCCTGACAGCAGTAAGGTGATTGACAGCTGCCTGACGGTGGTAAGTAGATTGGAAGCTGCCGGGCAGTGGAAAGCAGATTGACATCTGACGTACAGTAGTAATTCCATTGTCATGCAGTGGTACAGGATTGACAGTTCCAAGAAATCGGTAAGTTGATTTTAAAAGACATGTTTTTTTGTTTTTTTTTAAAATTCATCTATAGCAATTGGCTTTGCATTTTTATTAGACTGTTAAAACGAAATGTATTGAAAAAAATTGAATATATCAATGACTTTATATTATTTTAATACAGCCCTATGAGTACAAGTCACATCACTAATAAGAACAAATCAAAGACAATAAACGTCAGTGGCTGGAATGTGCACACGTTGATGGATGACCCCAGAGCATATAGACCAGCGCGGAAAACTCCCATTGGAAGACTAGAGACCTAGCAGAGATATCAGGAACACTCCTACCATAGACAAAATCAACTTACAGATCTAGGAGGCGGATACACTTTCTTGTGGAGCGGCTGCTGCTAAAACGGATGACGAGAAGCTGGTGTTGGTTTAATCATTAAAAAAAACACGTTGCCCACACACTCTCAAAGGTGCAAGAAGGGATCGATGACCATCTGATGACACTTCGGCCTCCTCTATTCAAACCTTAAAGAGCCACGCCCATAAATGCCTATGGTCAATGGTCCCAATGATAAGACATTCAAAGTAAACCAAAAACAAACTGTCTGAAGAACTAGACCATGTCATCTTATAAGTTCCAAAATCAGAGAAGCTCGTAATCCATGGGGACTTCAATGCTAGGGTTGTAACAAACCACCAGACATGGCGAGGTACTATCAGAATACATGGCCATGGAAAGTGTAACAGAAATGATCCACTGCTCCAAAACTTGCCCACAAAAATAACCTCACTATCGCCAAAACACTTCAAAACACTGGCACATGATGGAGTATATAATCAGCAGAAAAAAATGACATACAAGATGATAGAGTAACCAAAGTTATGTTTGGTGCTCAATGCTGGTCTGACCATCAACTCATAATTTCCAAGTTAACGTTTCACGTCATACCCAAGAGAAGACACCAAGGCCAGAAATTCAAAGCACAACTTAAGTGTACAAACATGGCCGACAATTTGTTCATTGAACTCGAATGCAGACTGTGCAATATTCCCGAGGTGGACATATTAAAATATTGAATCCAAACGGTCTAAATTGAGAGATACTAATCTACCCGTCTGCTCTGGAGCACCTCAGACCAACTACCCACAGAAAGAAGATTGGTATGATGAAAATAAATGATAATGAGCTACAGTCACTACCAAACGATAAATATCAGGTGCTGAGATCCTATCAGAACAATCCTACGTCACAAGTAGGGAAAGATGCTCTCATCAAAATAAAACAGAAAGTGCTAAAGAAACTGTGAAATTCACGATTCATGGCTCAGTAGGAAGGCTATTGAAATTCACGATTCATGGCTCAGTAGGAAGGCTATTGAAATTCAGGATTATGCCGATAGACGCGACAACAAACGATTCTGCGATGCCATAAAAGAAGTCTATGGACGATAGGTCTCAGACTGCTTGCCCATCCTTAAAAAATGTCATCACTTTACACAACTGCTGACAGACAAGAGTCAGATTTTTTAGAAAGATGGGCCGAAAATTCTTGTCAAGTTCTTAACTGTCCGGTGGCTACAAACGATAATGCTGTTCCTAGTTTACTAGAAGTGGAGATGAACCAAGAGCTGGACAACACCCACAATGAAGATGAAGTCGGGATGGCAATCCAGGTACTCTCCTCAACTAAATCCCCAGGATAAGATGCACTCCCTGGTTAAATCTACAAAGTAAGGGTCCCCTTCTTGACAGAAGACTCACAAAGTTATTTGAGTCGATATGGAAAGATGGTACTTTCCCTCAGTAATTCAAGGAGGAAAATATGATACACATATAAGAGAAATGGCAGTCGCGAAAACTGTACCAAATATCGAGGCATTTATATCCTGTCCATAGCTGTGAAAATATTGGTTAGTGTCCTACTTAATAGTTTACAACTACATCTTGAACAGGGATTACTTCCTGAAAGTCAAAATGAATTTCGTTCAGAACGGGGCACAGCTGACATGATATTTGCTGCATGCCAACTCCAGGGAAAATGTCAAGAGAAACACAGTGACCTGTTCATCGCCTTTGTTGATCCGACCGAGACATTTGACTTAGACAGTTGAGATGGGCTGTGGAAGATAATGGAGGTTTGGCTGCCCAAATAGACTTATCACAATAGTATGTCGACTCCTTGATGGTATGATGGCTAGGGTGATGAATTCTGGAGATGAATGATCTGCGCTCTAGCCACATTACTTTTTAGCATGTTTTTCTCAGCAATGCTTACAAATGCTTTTCATCTCAATAGTAACAGCTTTCCTATAAGATAAAGTACAGAGGAGGTCTATTTAATCTTAGGAGACTCCAAGCAGTTACTTTGTCCTAAATGCAATTTCTGAACTAAAAATGTCACAAATACTGAGAAAAGTGAACATTTTTAAACACAATTAAACTGAGATGTCTTATTAATGAAGAAATATATTAAGTGATAATTCAAAAAATATTTCTTATTGTTAATTAATTTGAACACCAATTATCTTCAAACCAGGCTATGCCGATTGTGTCCGATGCTTTCAGTGTGGACTCGGTCTAAGATCCTGGAAGCCAGGCGATGATGTTTATAGCCAACATGAAAAGCACAGACCCAACTGTCCATTTCTTCAGACGCAGAAGATGACACGGATCGATGAAGCATCCTCCAATGGTTTGTTCTCATAACTGAAACACAGTCTTTCCCTTATAACTTACATCTCATTGGGAAAATCTCGCAAATCGTACTTAGCTATTCAGATCGATACAATTCATTTTTTTTAAACAACACACAATTGAACATGATATTTAAAATGTTGGATAATATATACCTTTTAGTCCAAATCAAAGACCTTCTCCTATTTGCTTCATTCTTTATGGGGATAATGATCAAACAGAAGGCTTTTAATGCATTTCACCTACAAAACACGAAACGTCAATAACAAGCAGCGTATTGCGGCTAGTTTTAAAATACGTAAACTTAAGTGCACGGGTGTCTTAAAAAATGTGAACGCCCTCGGCTCAGCAATGCGCTAGAGTCCCCTAACTTGCTCTACCACCCACAGTCGGGACCAAAAAAAAATCAAAATAAACATTTAATTAATTAAAATTAAACAACTTTAATTCATACTAAAAAATAGTATGGTTCAAAAACCTGTTTTTAAATAAAAGTGTATAATTGGTTCAAAATAGATATGGAGTTTAATTATTGTTATTGACGGATATAATGAATTATTCGTTACAAAGCAGCATAAATGCTTTTGTTAATTTTTGCTGAGAATTTATTTATAAAGTCGTTGAATACAAGACAACGGTTTCTCCAGTAGGTCATTTTCCATGCACATAAGTGAAAGCCATTTCAAATGTTGCTGCTCGGTCGTCATGAGGAAATGATTCTTTATGAGAGTTAATCTTTCTAAAATGAATGTTCCCTGAGCCGTGCTAACAGCAATTACACACACAAAAAGCATAGCTACATTTCATTTTCAATGAACGTGAAACAAGTTTGCACATAATTTCTACAAGTTTTTGCCAGATAGAAAAGAAGGGAACAACTACGTCCATCTGTTTTGTTGAAAAGTCAAGTTTAAAGTATATCTTTTATGCATACATGGTATTTAAACTGGTATTTTCTTTAATAAATGGCAACTAAGAAAATTGATCAGAGTATACTTTGTGTTGGAGTCTAGATTTGGAACACCGTCGAGGTCACTGCTGACAGAGGAAGACACAATAACGGCTGGAAACCCAAAGGGTGGATTTGGTTGTCTCACCCTACGCTTGGAAGAGTTCCTCAAGAATACAGATCCGTGTCAATGTCACGCACGGGAAAAGCTTCAGCTCCATTTCATGAGGGCTTGCAGTTTTTAGATTAAAATTTAGGACGGGGCTTAATTATTATTATTTTTTTTAATTTCATTTTTTAGACTTGAGTTACAGTCCACTTAGATCAGGGGTTCTTAATTATCTAGGGTTTGCCGCAACCCTTGCAAGTACTGCAACCAGTGGCGATTTGCATTTTTATAAGCAATAGTTTGCATTTTATTGATTTATTGATTTAATTATTAATTTTTTTTTTTTTTTTAATTTTTTTTTTTTTTTGGTGGGGTAATGTTTTAAAATCAAGAAGGGGTCATACGCATCAAAAAAACTAAAGTCCATGAACTAGAAAAAAAAAAAAATACTGAAAAATTAATAAAAAATTTTTTTTTTTTTTTTTATTTTTTTTTTTTTTTTGGTGGGGTAATGTTTTAAAATCAAGAAGGGGTCATACGCATCAAAAAGACTAAAGTCCCTGATCTAGAAAAAAAAAAACATTCTGAACAATTCATGAAAGATGAGTCTGAAGACTGGTAGTTCATGAAGAAGAGTGAAGACACTGCATAAAACCAAGGAAGAGAAGGGATAGAAGGAAACAATGTCGACTAGCCCAAAACAGATTCGATAATTTGGAGCTAGACCACTAATCAAACACTGGACACATGTCAAATAGGCTAAATATGCACCATAAAATTAAAAGCAATTTTCGTGACCATAATTAGAACACACAATGAAGCTGTCTCATAAATCCTGGTGAATCCACAGAGACGTATGTGATCTTGCCAGTGCTACGTCAGGCCTGTCCATTTCCTCCCTTACTCTTCCCAAGGAACTTAAATAAATCACAATAAGGACCATGACAAACGCTTACAATTGACGTAGCATTTAGCAGTTCCCGCTACAAGACGTGGACTTTTTTTAGGGCATAATGGTTATGTCCCTAAACATCACACACTTGAAATTATTTTTTTTTTTTTTAAAAACCACAAAATTTGATCACAGAAAAGTGCTAGCGAAGAAAAATCATAGAATTTATATTAGAGCAACGTAAATGATCAATTTTCAAATATATATGTATATTTTTTTCAATCCAACAGATTTAAATACCAAGGTCCCCGAGGAAAACATCGCTGTCAGACTTCTCAAGCTTGAAAACACGAAGCTGGAAGAGCAGCTGAAATGCAAGGTTTGCTACAAGTCCCAAATTAAAGATTTGTTCCTGCCCTGTGGTGAGCTGTACGCCTGCAGTGACTGCTCCAAACTGCTCACCCACTGTCCGTCATGCAACAAGCAGATACTGGCCACGGTGGCCACATTTTTCACCTGAATATTATTGTATTAATACTTCTGTGCTATTTTAAGTTTGCTAGCAAGGGCCGGTTGTGGTGGGGTTTTTTAATAATTTTTAGTGGTTCCTTTGGTGGGTTTTTTTTTTGGTGGGAATTTTTTTCTTTAAATTGTCTAAACTTGAGCATTTTACTATAAATATCTTTATAATTAATTTCACAAGCTATTTAATGAAAAGTGTCACATTCATGTTCGAATTAATTGATTTATAGACTTTCTACAATAATTTCAGAATCAATGTACAATTTTTTAAATTTAATTCACATGTCAATGCATGTGTCAAATAGATATGTTGCTTACTTCTAAAAAGATTTTTCACGTTATGGAAGGGACAGTGTTGATATTTATTATTTTACAGTCAAAAACTTTGTGTACTGAACTGAAACACTTATCTCGTACGACGGTAAATAACAAGTGATTGAAACTTTGTTTTATCAACTTACATGGGGAGTAAAATGCTCACGTACCTCCTCGAATCGGTCTCCCCGGGGGCAAAAATCATAAATACTTTTTTTGCTGCAAAATCGTGAGTCGTTCCGGGAAAAAAAAAATTATTGTCAAGGACGTACCAATGGTTTTGTGTCTAATGGTTGTCAGATTTTTGGCCTGAATGTCATTGTTTATTGCCAATATTGCATGCTTTGAGTGGCTTTGCAAGTCTAAGAGCTGTAGGAGCTAAACTAAACATATAAGTTGCACGTGCGTATAGATTTGACTCTTTAATTCTTCTTGCGTGGTCAGGCAGTTGAGTGAATACAGCACATTTTATTGTGTTATTTACTTGCCTGTCGGTGTTTGTGTTAGTGTTGCACTCAGTGAGAGGCTAATTCGTTGCACTATTTCGTTGCGTAAGAAGTTTTCTAGCGATTAAAGCACTCTAAAATAAGCACGGAGAAAACAACAATACTCCCTAGGATTCAATTGAAAAGTCAACGAGAATTTCGAGCAAGTCAGGAGCTATGATGTCTTCACAATTTCGTATTTTGTCAATGGTCCGAAACTCTAAGACTTAATCCTTATTGTAGACTTTTTTATGTACGATGTTTAGCATGAGTTACTTCATCTTGTCCTTAACACTTATGATGATGTCACGTCCAGTGTGCACAGAACATTCGCCATTTGCAATTCATTATAGATTTATTTATATATAAATAAATAAATACATATATGTGTATATATATACATATATATATAATAAAAATTTAATGTATACATATGTGAATATTCCCGATTCTGCTGGGGGCTGTCCATGGCTAGACAGGGGTAGATAGTACTTGGGTGGGTGAGGTCAATCTTTTCACCAAGTGTTGTCTTTAAAGGTATGCGTTTATGTAATTGATAATTTTTATGTGAAGCGCAGTGAGCCTGGCCATAGGATCGGGGTACTGCGCCAGATAAAACCACCTAATAATAATTATTATTATAATAAAAACAATAATAATAATAATAATTTTTTGTTGTATTAATAAAGGCACTGGTTGAAATGTTTTACATTTGTATTCTATGTAACCATTATAAAAGCTTAACCTATAGTGTTTTATTTACGCAAAATGTTTGTGTCTCCTTAAGCTACTTGAAAGCCTTGTCGCAATCCAACACCCTTGTACTTCATATTAGTCTTGATTTGATGTCTATAATATTAAATAAATGCAGGATTTTGATTCTTATAGAGTCAGTATTCTGTTAGAAGTGTTATTTACCCCATATTAGGTGTTTCTGGTTTCTGGTTTAAAACAAAATACATGCGGATATGGAAAACAATTTGGAACACACTTCCTATCGCTCTCAGAAACAGCCAGACACTGAAGTCTTTCAAAACTGAAGTGAAAACTTATCTATTTCGCAAACACCTGCTGGGGTGATGTCGTCAATCTAGCTATTATCTTGTAGATGTATATTAGCCTGTGTTGTTTAAGACTTAGAAATGGGTATTCTCGTATGTAGGTTTTTTTTTTTTGTTTTAATGTTGCATTGTGTACTTGATTGTGGTATGCACAGCGCTTCGAGCCTTCGGGGATAAAGCGTGATTTTCTAATAATCTTTATTATTATTATTATTATTATTATTACCTGTTGGTTTTTTTTAAATATTATTTCTGAATATCATAGCTTGCTCTTCAGACATTTTACTCAAGGAGTGTTTCTTTCTTTCTTTTTTTTTTGTCTTTCTTTTTTCTTGTTTGTGTACATGGCTATGATTATGAGTTGGGTTTTTACTGGGCTCTGAGAACAAGATATTGACGTTCAGGAATGACTTGAACACATTTTTGGGATGTGATTTTTTTTACTTTTATTTCTCATCATCCATATTTGCTCATTAGTCGAGTTTCACTAAAAATATATATATATATTTACGTCACATCATTAGCTTTATGCTTGCTTCTTTTTTTTTCCTCCATTTTTCATCAGATTGATGACATGCACTTTATATTTAGATTAAGAATATATAGTGTCTGTTTGTCAAGTCGATTTGAAATAAAAGAAACTTTTTGAAGAAAGAATTAATTGCGTACAATTTGTTTTTCTTATTTCCTTTTTTTTTTAAAACATTTTAAAATTATTTTGTTACTTAGCTAAGACACCGGTAGTGCGAATTGCGTGACGTCTGCTTGCCAAATAACATTCATTGCCCATTGAGAATCGAGGCACATCTTGAAAACGAATGTTTAATTTGATGTTAAAAATTGTAGGTCTTGGCGATAAAACTGGTTCAAATACAAATCATTTGAAATTACATCTTTCCCATTATTATCATGCAATAAAATTGTTCTTAATTAAATAAAATAGTGAAAATTTTGAACATGTATATATGTATATATATTTACATACTTAATTACAGGGGATGGCAGGATAATATAGTGCAGTTGAAAAAGGGATTGTTTTCTAATACAACTGACAGCTTGTAAAAAATCTTTAAAAAAAATACATCTATTGAAATTTAAAACAAAATATTTAATTAAAAATTTAAAGAGAAGTCTTTCATTTTCGTAAAAGTATAATCAAATTAACTTTAAAAATACTTCAAGGCACATCTAAATTTCTATCACAACTAATAAGTCTCCTCTTGAACTTTATCCATTCAACCCAACATTTTCTTTGATTTTAACCATGCCATGGTTTCACGTCTCTTTCTTCTTTACGCTGTATACCTACTTCTGGCATATCACTTTCCATCAGAACATGTTCAATACATTACTATATATCTTTCCCTTATGAACATATGTTATTCCCATTAATTTTTATATCAAATTTAATTCCACACAGTTAATACTATATTACCGTTGTCCGATAATTCGATTCAATGTCTTAAAGGCACTATAAAAAAACTTATTTACACTATTTACACATTTTATAGTAAATAATATTTATGGGCAATATTTAAAAAAAAAAATCATGTGCCGGCATTAATACATTACAATACAATAGTTTTCGAATTGTTTCAAGGATTAACAGTTAATAAAGAGTCATAATAAAAGTTCAATTTTATATTTGGCTTCGCGGTGTCATTAGGTACCATTCCTTAACGGTTAAAGCATGAAGTGGATTAGAACAAGGGTCAAGTCATTTGAACACTCATTGGCAGAACGTAATGACAATATGTTAATATAAGAACACTGGCAGTAGATTCTGATAATTGTATGTCCATGGTTGGTCCCACGAAAATTCAAAACATTAAAAAAATAAAATACGGGTAGCCTTTAGAGTTGTTGAAGCGTACAGGTAGGAACTGTTGGCACACATAGAAGCGGGCGGCACAGACAGGAACTGGCGGCACACACAGAAACGGGCGGCATTGCTAAAGTTGATCTGCTGCACGCTGCGTTTATGGATTGGCTTTTGCAATGGGTCTCGACGTACGTATCAAGCATTTAGATTGAGATGCACTGCATGGGTCAAGTCATCACGACTGGCCATGTGTCTACTTCACAGCACGGGGTTAGCTGCGTGGAACACGTTGGAATGTCTTTAGTTTGCAGACGGGCCAGTTGAGACCGCACGTGCTGTAATTTAAATGCGTGAACTCATGTATGATTCGGGCACCCGTGTACTGAGCAGATCAGCCCTTGCGCGCCACTACTTAGGAGGCTTTTTTGGGTGTAGGGCAAGAATTCCACAATAATTTTAGAGATTGTCTGACCGCAACAAGAAGTCAGGTTGAAGTCTTTCAGTTTGTTGACCATGACCTGGCCCCAAGGTTACGTTTCATTTCTGACAGGGTCTAGAACTTAGGTCACAAGTTGCTAGCTTCGTCTAGATCCATGGTCGGCACTGGCTCCCATAGATTGTGTCATGGAGTTTGCTGTATCTAGTGACAAGCAACAACACAACTTGAACTATGTAAAAAGCTTTTAAAAGATGCAAGTAATCATCACATCATGTTAAAAAAACACTTAAGTCAACTGTACTCCACATATGGTTTTCTATGTACACAAAAAGACACAGATTGAATAGCAAGTGTAATTCACTCAAAGGTTCCCTTGCTGAATTATGCAATCTTTAATTTCTTCCAAATCGGCTCTCAATTTTTAACTCTCTAAAACAGTTCTCCTCTCCCAATATATACACACAAATTTGTTCTAGCGCTAAGCCAATGAGACTGAAAGTCATGTTTCAATTCAGTCTCACATTTCCACGTTCAGAGCTGTGGGGACCATGACATGAAATTCTTCAGCGGTTCTTTTACCTTGAGATTCAAAATTTCATTGTAGGGCAAAAACAGTTTATTGATACCAATTAAATGTTTCTGTGCACAATCCATTCTGTTAAAGTTTGTTTCGTTGTGGTGAATAATTTAGTCTTTATTTTCCTCAAGGGGCTCGGTATTCATTGCAGCTTCATCATGGCCTGAAAAAAAGAAATATTATTAGTTTATGCCTTTCCAATTTTTTTTTCCTTTCCTTTTTTGGTTCATTTTAATTTATTGCATTTTTTTTTCCAAAATCAATATATCATTATCCACAAAACAAATTTCCCTAAGTTATACACCCATTACAAGCAAATCCACTTTCTGCGCAGTTCGATTATCTCAAATTATTCCAAAGTATTCATTAAACGATTCTGAATCAACGAATTTAAATTATCTTCTAATGACTACTGGATACAGTATCGAAGTTTACCTATCATAATTATGTACCATCTGTGTATGAGTGGCGCTTGCCTGAACTTAACTATTTTTAAAAAAAAAAATTATATCGCCTGTAAGTTTATTGAATCTGGCTTTTACTTTCGTTTTAGTAAACAATGTGTATTCATTAATTTTTTTATTTTTTTTTTAAATGATATATCTTGAACGGGTAAGTATAAGATATTTTTTTTTTAAATTTAATCCAATGACTTTAATTGTTTTTTTTTTCTTCTTTGAGGGAAATTATAATCGGAACCTTTACTTCCTATGTGTATAAAGATTTATCTAGACTCACAAGACACTAGTTGTAGTGGTTGATTTCAGAGTCGGAAATAATACAGAAAAACCTCCCCGGCGGACACACTGTGTGAATCATTTTCTAGCCACGAGAAACAAAATCGTATTGAAATTCCAAATGTGAGTCTTAAATATTCTATTAAATTCTTGACTCAAGCTTTCATGGTTTTTAATTCCATACCGGGGGAATTTTGAGCTCCTGTAGAGAATCGTATCGGCTGTCCTGGGCCTATCCCCAGCATGGGCGTCTGGCTTGACCATTGGCTTTGACTTGTGGCAAGAGCACCTGCACAAAAATTTTGCAAAATCGATGCAGTATTAAATTGTAAAGTTGAATTGGAAAACAAAATCATTCGTAAATAAGGTAAATAATCATACGCCAAAGCAAACGAACGGTGGTCACATTAAAAAAAAAACTCGACTTTTGTGAATAAACACAAATTTTAACTGAAATTTCTTTAAGAACCATTATGTTGCTTATATAACGCAAAATTGTTATTACTAGGCGTGCCTACCTGTCAGGAGGTCGCTGCTACGTTGACTTGTCCATCTTGATGGGGGCCTCGCACTACTACGAACATTTCTAGCATTTGGTTGCACGGGGCCGGTTAAAATGTCTAGAAAGACAAAAGAGAGTCAATTATAGTGTTTTCAATTACACTTAATTAGAATTATTTTAAAGCAACACATTTCTCCTCTGTGTATCTACATAAATTAATCGAAAATATACAAGAAAATATTTTTTTTTTAAACATTGAGTCAATAAAAATATATAACTTTAGAAATTCAGGCTCTCAACAAAGAATCATTTTTTTTAAATATATTTTGAATGTTCGAAATATATTTCAAAATTTAAAAAAAATGGCTCCTAATTGACTAAAAACGTTAGTAATGAAATTACTTCTCTGCTTTTTATTTAAAATTCATTTAACAATAACTTGTTTTGAAATATGATTATTCACCGTTATGGACTTGGACATTTTCTTGTGGGAGGCTTGAGATGGTGGGAACAACATCTTGAAAAGTTATCTCCTCCTGGCGATAACTGACACCTTAAAATTTAAAAAAAAATTTAAAATCTTTTGAGAAATAAAATTATCGATAAACAGTGTATGTTAAAGTTATTTCAATTTAAACTCTCATGTTATCTTTGATTGAATATAGATCAAGTCAAACGATTCAGAGGGGGTGGGGGGCAGGGAGGGGGGAAGGAAACAACGACGAGTCCTGCTGAAACGGCCATTATAATAGGCAACTAGGCAGGCCGCAGATCAGTGGACGGAATCATTGTGTAGAAACAGAGCACCGTGAGATGACAGGGTTTGGGGGCCTAGGAAGCAGAACCACAATCCATTGAAATCGTGACTCAAAAAAATAAAATGATCAATGATCAGCTAAGTAGATTTAATAAATTCTTATAGTTTGTCCAGCATGAGCATGCACTTAAAGACCAGAAGAATTAAACAACAATGTCCAGAGTGCTCTTATCCATGGCGCACTGAGAGATCACTTGCGAAGCTGAATGGAATCAGAATTATAAACGACATGCCGTTGGCCCTGTGCCCAGATATATATATTTGGGAATAGACATTCTCCCAGAAAATAATTGAGATGCTAATATGTCTTTAAATTTGCCGCTTGTTCATGAATGTAGATTTCCACCGAGCTAACATCGTAAGAACCAGTGGGATGAAAAACGCGGAAAATCAAAAACAATTCGGACTGATATAATATATGAGAAACGTAAGTATAATCTTACACTGACAAAAAGACAATGATGGCACCAGTCGGAGAATGAGGACTGTCACAAGATGTCTCAGGGTTTTGGGCCCACCTCCCAACAGTCATATAAAATGAATTAAACAACTCTAGCCCTTACGAGACTGCCGTACATGGAAGATACAAATAATGTAATGGTCAAACAAACCTCAACTGTTTAAAAAGATATTCTGAAATGGAGTGGGCGGTCATTTGATTGACCTAATTTAAAATAATCTGGTATATGAAATCGTGCAACGTTCCTTAATCTATTCGCATCAGAAGATAATTCTGGACAATATTACACATATGTAATAGGATACCAGTGTAGCATTCATATTCTTAAACCTTTAATCCGGCGTGAGTAAGACTATGAAAAGGTAAGTTGAGTTTACGTTCTCAAGCTTGCCACTTTTAGTGCGTCTAGACAAATTCTACTGCGCAGGTAATTTTTTTTTTTTTTATCATTGTTGCTTTCATCACCCTGACAGACCAGTTATAAAGTC